CTGCTTCTTCCCATCCTCCCCTCCCTTCCCCTGGAGGGGCGTTCCCGTGAGGAGGAGGGCGGAAGGGTAGTGAAACCGCTCCCGGAGGGTGAGGGAGAGGCGAGAGTGCGTGTTTTTGAGTCGGTGGGCTTCATCCACCACCAGCAATGTCCACTCCTGATCCATCAGGAAGGACGCGTCCGCAGCCAGGCACATCTCCGGAGTGGTGATCAGCACTTGGAACTTGGGTAGCTGCACGTAAAAAGGGAGGGGAAGAGGAAGGGAGGATAGGTCAACGACGTGGAGCGTTTCGGCGGCGGTGGGGGGGGTTCGGCAGGGCAGTTCATAGGATCGTAGGATCGATCATAGGATCGAACAGACCGATGCCCACGCGCCTTGCTGCCTCGTCCCCTCGTGCCTGTGGCCCCATGGTCCCTGCATCTCTTGGCCGACATACTCGCCTGAAAGTCCCCCTCTTTCCCCCCCGCCTTCTGGGGGAAGCGCCACTCGTAGTCGCGGCAGACCGCCCGGTCCTCCGCCGACCCGTGGTAGACGATCGCGTTCAGGTCCGTCCAGGCCGTGAACTCCCTGAGGGGTGGAAAGAGGGAGGGAGGGAGGGAGGGAGGGAGGGAGGTCATGGTTGAGGAGGCAGGGGAGGATGTCGGCGCCGGGGGGGGAGAGGGAGGCGAGGGGATTTCCCGAGGTATCAGGTTCAGAGGTCCGGAGGGCATCCCACAGACCCCGCGGGTGGAAAGGATGGGAGGGGCGGGGAGCTGTTCGACCTCCAAGAGGAGGGTGTGGGGGTAAGGGGAAGGAGGGAAGGAGGGAGATCGAGAAGGGGGGACAAGAAAGGAAGGACGACGCACCGGTACCAATGCTGCAGGGTGGAGAGCGGCGCGATCACCAGGAAAGGTCCGGGTAGCTTTTCCTTGCTCCAGAGGGAGTGGACAAAGGCGACCGTCTGCACGGTCTTCCCCAGGCCCTAGGCGTTGGAAAAAAGAGAAATTAAAGGAAGAAAAAGCCGAAAAGAGAAAAAACGGTCAGCCCTGCCTGGTCCCTGCGCTCTCCCTCGGCGGGCGGAGAAAAGGAAGGAACCACCCCCAAGACCCACCATCTCGTCGGCCAGGATGCTACCGGCCCCCTTGGCCCGGTTGAAGACCATCCATCGGACGGCCTCCCATTGGTAGTCCCGAAGGCGCCTGCCCCCCTGGAAGGAGGGCTGAGTCTCGTAATCCTCCTTCCGGAACCCGACGCACTGCTTCCGAGACGGTCTTGGGTCCGCTGGAGGTGGGCGCTGCCGGTGGCGCCAACGCGCCAGGTGCCGGGGGAGGTCGGGAAGGAGGGCGAGGTCTTCCACTTTCTCCCAGGTCGACTCCGAGTAGGGTAGCCCGCACCACTTGATAAGAAGGCGTGCGAGGCCCGCCACGGACGTGCGGGGCAGGCAAGTGTCTTCCCAGGCCCTGGAAACGCTCTCCTTGCTGCAAGGGGCTGTGCTGAGTTCAGGACGACGTCCTTCCTCCGGACTCGAGGAAATCTCTGTGTTTTCCATCCCTTCTGTCGCACCCTCCTTCCCATCCTCCACCCCCTCCTCCTTGTCCTGCTCCATGCGTCCTTCCTCTCCTCCTCCCTCCTTCCCCTCCTCCCCCTCCACCGCCAAGACCCGCTCGATCTCCCGGTACTGAGGATCGAAAAATTCCTCGGGGTTGTACAAATTGAAGGTCTCCAACGTCCCGTCCTTCTCCTTTTTAAGAAACCGTTTCATCGCCGCCCGGGCTTTGGCACCCACGCAGTGCACCAGGTCCTTCGGCGTCTCCCAGGAGACATGCAGGTAGCTCATGCCCGTCCACCGGCACAAATACTTCTCCACCGCCTCCGGGGAGGAAGCGGCTTCCTCTTCTTCCTCCTGCACCCACAGGGAACCCCGGGTGATCTCGCTGGTGTTCATGGAGGCGCAGGCCGCTCTCCATGCCTGAGGCGTCAACATACGACGGGCCAACAAACGCGGCAACGGCTGTCCTTCTCCTTCCTCCTCCTCCTCCTCCTCCTCCTCATCTTTCTTCCTGTGCTTCCCCGCCTCTCGACGAAGGCTCCGAGTTTCCTCCCCGGCTTCCTCCTCACTCTCACTGCTGCTGCTGCTGCTGATCGCATCGACATACTGGGGCCTGACGCCGCCTACACTTGTCCGCTGGCTGCGACGGACCTCTTTTTCTCCCTCGGTGTCCACACCCTTCCTGGCCTTTCTCCTCCCGGCGCTGCACTGGCGCCCCTGTCCCCGAGGCCTTTCTCCGTACTCCTCCTCCTCTTCCTCCTCCTCCTCTTCCTCCTCCTCCTCCTCCCTCTTCACCTTCTTTCGCCCTACCTTGCCCAACCTCCGTCGAAAACCACCCACTCGGGCCTTACCCTGTTTTGATCCTTCCTCTTCACCCCCCAAGGCGTCCTCTTCCGCCTCCTCCTCCTCCCCTCCCCCCTCCTCTTGCCGGGAACGTACAGCGGCCTTCTTTACATAGCCCATCAAGTCAAAGGCACCCTTTCCTTTATTTCCCACCTCCTCTTCGCGGTGCGACTTCCGCTGGGTCTTGTCCTCAGATCGGAGGCTGGACTGCATCGTTACATCCTTCACCTCTTTTTCCTCCTCTTCGTCCTCCTCCTCCTCCTCTTCCTCCTCCTCTTCCTGTGCTGCCTTCTTATTCTGTCGTGAGGAAAGCCGACTGGGAGAGGGCTCTTGGGCAACTAAACGTTGGACAGGCTTGCGAATGCGTCCTTTCGACGATGTCCCTCGTGCTAACGCTTCTTCCTTATGCCCGAGCCCTCCTGCCTCCCCGTGGTCATTTCGCTCCACCGCTGCTGAAGGTGCACCAGGACGACGCAAGCGCTTTCGCATTGGAGGACTTCCTTCTTTCCTGATTTTCCCCCGCTTTTTGGATGCTTTGTCCTCTTCCTCGCTGCTCTCGACTCCAAGCAATTCTTTCTCCACCACGTCCTCCGTCGCAGCCCAGTTCTCGTCGTCTTCCTCCATTTCGACATAGCTCACGATAGGCTTGGCTCGCCGGGAGCGCGTCGACTCAGGCATGGAAAACCCTGCCGCCTAAGTGCGCTAATGAAAATAAATTGCCGTCAACAAAAATTATAAATACCCAAACCCTAGCTTTAAGTTAGGTTGGAAAGTAGGGAGGGATGAAACGGGCGATCGACCCGCGAAAGGGGTTTTGAAATGCAGACCGATTGAATTGAAAAATTCCCAGAGAGAAGTCCTCAGAAAAGAGCCGGAAGATTCCGTAGACCATTTACGGTTTCAGCAAATGAGTTTGATGGCAGATTCAGGTCTCACGACCGCATGGAGAGAGGTAGTAGGGCCGGGGAACAAACAAAGGTTGGGGCCACTGGGAAAAGCAGCGAACAGATCAAATCTTCTTTCCCGCCCATTCCTAAGACATGAGATCTCTTTGCACGCTTTGCCGGAATCGTCGTGCCAAAAATAAAAATGCGTGCCCCGTAAGAATGAAAGAAGAAATCAACGACATCCGGTGGATGTTGGTACTTTTTCCTCTCACGCTTTTATGTTGTTCGAAGGTAAAAGAGTTATCTCAAGGCTACTGGTAACCTCCTCCCCCTGGCAGAGCTCGATCGAAAGTCCAAACGTTTTTTTTTAAATGCAATTGGAGGGCAGGATGAGAGGGCGGTGGTGGCTGTCGACTGTAGCTGCTTAATCACTCTTCGTGGGATTTCAACCTCTTGCCGAGATCACGTCGCGACGGTGTGCGTGCCCTCTGGGAGCCATTTGAAATCCCAGCCGGCAGGCATCACCTCCTCTTTCTTTGTTCTTTGATCAACAACAAATTTATTCGTGTCGGGCACAGGCTGCAGGTGGTTGTGTATGCGAACTTTGATGGAAATGTGCCATGTTGTGCGTTTGTTTCAATAGGATCTGGAGAGTCATATTTCCGTTGTGCTGAGGCAGCGCGGGGTGAATTTTACTCGTTTACCTTCACGTGCTTCAGAGAGATAGAAGTCATGCGTTGGCGAGAGCGAAGGATGTTGACATGGCAGCGCGCGAAAATCGGAGCAGGGTAAAAAAAACCGTTGAGTTTGGATACGTGAACATCTAAGGCAGGCAGTGTTAGTCATGTTACTTCACTGTACCCCTTCTAAATTTCATATTGCTGTGGGCGAGGCGGTAGACAAGCCCTCTTCGTGATACCACTGCCCGTCACGATGTTTTAAACCCGTCGTAGCTCGCTCCTCAGGCCATCAGAAGCCATCCAGTCGTTGCTCATCTTACTATCACATAAGTAAGCCCCGTTATTCCAGCTCAAACGTGCCAACGCGCCTTCCAAGTGTCCATATCGACTCTCCTTTGCGTGCCTGCTGACCACTGACAAGCCTCCCTCGACTTTTGCCACACTGCGCTCGCCTTATGCGAGACACGTTTAAAGTAGCCCCTGTCGAGCTAGATCTTGGAAAGTCCTACGGTTCAACACGTTTCCCTCCGAATCTTCGAATTCCTCCTCCACCTCCGCATCGTACACTTCTCCCTTCAGCTGTTCTTTTATCCGGTCGTACAAGGCAAGCGCGTCCTTGATCGTCGTGATGTCATGGAAATGCTTTGTGTTGGGGATTTTCAGGCAGCGCATCCCATGGGCATGCCGCCACTCCTGGAAGTGCCTGCAGGGACGCCAAAAACAAGAGTGAGCGCGAAAGAAATGACAATACCACAGATGCTTCTCGAACCGGGCAAGAGAGGAAGGAAAAGCCACAGGTGCGTGTCGGACCTCCCCCTCTGCTCAGAGAAGGGAGCAGCAGGTGCACCGCGCGCGACCGTGCCCCCGGCATGTCCCTACCCCCGCCCGACTGGACGAGCCATGTCACCAACAATACGATAAGTATAAACTCCGAGAGCACGAGGACAAAAGCCCGAGACAAAGAAGACGGGGAAGAGAGAACCCCCTGAGTCACGTACCTGTCAAACGCCCGGCGGCCCCAGTACGAGTGATTCCCGCAAATCTCACATTTGTATTCTACCCCCAGCCCGTGCAATTTATACAGCCAGTATGGAATCGGCTTTCCATCGTAGCCTAAAGGCAGATTCAATGGATTGTAAATGGGGCCGTCCTCGTCCTCCTCCTCCTCCTCGTCCTCGTCCTCCTCCTCGCCCTCCCCCCGAAGTTCTGGAAGCAGCCCTTCTTCCTCTTGCCTCAGCTCCGTCTCCGTCTCCTCCTTCGTGCGGGTCTGCTTCTTCTCGACAAATTTCTTGGTCGCCTCCACCACCTCCCTCAGCACCTCCTTCACCAACAGGTCGATCCGGAACTCCCACCGCGCACACTGCTTCTTCCCATCCTCCCCTCCCTTCCCTCCCTCCTTATCCGTCCCCACCCCTTGCCCATTCCCGTTGCTCGTGGGCCCATTTCCTTCCGCCTTGCTTTTCTTCTTCCCGTTGCCCGCCAACAGCTTCGGGTCAATCTCCTCCTTCTTCTTCCCCTTGGTCGCAAACAAGCGGGCAGCTCGTTCTTCCAACGTCCCTCCGCACTTCATCCCCAAGGCCTTCAAACCGGCCTTCAACCGGTCCATACCCAGCACCTCCAATTCCTTCGCCGTCCGAAAACCCCGCAGGTCCACCTCCTTCGTGTTCTCTGCCCCCTTTTCCTCCCCTCCCCCTTGGGCCGGCACCGGCCAACCTCCGGGTAGTTTTCCCGCCTGCCACAGCGCCTCGAAGGCGGCTTCCGCCTTCTTGGTGGCCCCTTCCTCGCCTCCGTCCACGTTTCCGTCCAATATCTCCTCCACGTTTAGCAAAGGTTGCGTGCGCTGGATGAAGGAGTGCAGGTAATTGTACAGGTTGTGCACATATCTGTTCCCAGCGGGGGGGAGAGGAGAAATGAGACGCCCCAGTCGGCAACGACCGGGCCAAAGGGCGGTTGTACCTTTTTGAAAACAATCCAGCACTCCCTTCTCTTTTGACGTCCCACCTACCTTGCCCACGCCGCATTCTTCTTCCCGGCCGGGACTACCGAAAAATCCGCCAAGCGACTCAAGTACGTCTGATAATCCCATTTAGGGGTTTGCGGCAACGCGTAGAACTCCATGTGAGACGCCTGCAGGTCCAAATATTTGCCAAAGACCTCTTCTCCCGAAAAGGACACGCGCGGCTCCGCTTCCTCCTGCACGGGCGGGTGGTGCTTGACAGGCACGTCAGGGTGTTTCTGGTGATACTCCTTGGCATGATCCACGCGCGCATAAAAAGATGGAAACGCGTCGCGGCCCCGTAAAGTGGCCAGTTCCTCTTTCATGGTCCCGTGCACGTCCTCGTAAATGCCTTCCAAGTCTTTGGAGCGCCCCTGGATCTGCTCGATCAGGTTTGAGACCCGGTGTTGTTGCCAGACACGTTCCTTCGCCTGATGCGATGCAAGGGGGAAAAGAGGTTGTCGAGAACACAGTTGCGCATGGCCAGTCTCGTAAGAAGGGAAACAACAGGTAGACCCGAATGAGATCATAACGTACCGTTCGAGGTTTATCCTCCAAAATTGCGACAATAGCCGCCTCGTATGCCTCAATGTCCTCATGGTTTGCGCGGGCCCGCTCGAGGGTTAAACCCGACATCTATATCCTTTTTCTCGTGGTACTGTTCCTTCCGCGATTTTTGGCGGGCAACACTGTCCGTCGACGCAAGTCTGCTGAAAGTCGGGTAACAACGCTCGTGGTCCGTAGCTTTGGCCCCAGCGCTTCGCTAGGGGCTCGAGAGGATTCCTGCCGAGTAAATGATGCGAGGCCTATCATGAAGTGAGCAGCACGTCCATCCCTCCCAGCCTCCGCCTTCAATGCCTCCCTCACCGCTCCCAATCCGGTAAAAGGCAGGAAAACCTAACGACGAAGGCGAAGTCTACTCATCCGGGTCGGCAAGGAACAAGCACAGAGACCATCATCGGGACAGGACTGTGGCCTGAGGTCAAAATCATCACAACCACCGTCATCGTCATCGGTAAGCACCGAGTGAGGTACAAAGCATCATCCTTCACCACATCATCGCAGACCGATGCGGCCCAAACCATCACACGCGAATGCCCGAAACCTCAAGCCGCACGCCGCAGCCACGACCCCGCCACCGAGCCTGCATTCTTTTGACGGCATCCGACTTGAGGAACGATGCAATGGCCTGTAGATTTGAAAATAGACGATAATTTCAACCTTTGTTGTGGGCAGAAATGTGCCAGCTTGGTTTTGATTTCTGCGAGGCCCATGCTACTATGCACTCCAAGCCGTCGCCCAAAAGAGTACCGCCTTCGCCTTCGAACTGCTCTATTATCTCTTTTGAATGACACTCTGCACACGATGGGCCCGGCATGTGTGAAGCCTACTTTACATTGTTCATGGCCTCTTCATTTTTGTGTTACTCTGGACAACTGAGTTCGATTTTTGGTGCCGGGATGATGCCGAATGTCTTATTGTTTTCGCTCTTTTCAAATGAACATGGGGCACGTACAGTTACACGGAAGAAAATGTATAGCGCATCCAAGTCTTTTCGTGGACAAAGTACAGAACATGATAACATGCGTCCTTGATGTTCGAATTTGTAGGCAAGTAAATCTACTGACGTGCCACCGGGGGGAAAACTCCTTAGTCCTGGTTGACGCTGCGCTTCCTTTCCTTCCAAAGCGCACCGATACCACGTGACAAGGCTGACAAAAAGGAAGATTAAGGTGTGCAAGGTCTTCCCCAAATCATGCGCTTTATCCGAACTCTGGTCTCTGTGAATCACGTAAATTTTTGTTTTCGCACCTCAACAGGTCGTTCTCCTGCCTGGCTGCCCCCGACGTCATGTCTGTCGGGCACAGCAAAAGCGCGGCTCACGCAGCCAATATGAAGCACATCGCCTCAGTTGTGGCCGCCTACTGGATTGTGTCCATTAGCATGGTGTACCTGAACAAGGTCTTGATGACAAACTCGGAATTCTCCATTCCCGCCCCGCTCTTCATGACCTGGTTTCAATGCTTCTTCACCACGTGCCTGTGCTACGTCTGCGGCGAGTTGGGGGAGGTGCAACGTCGGAAAGGAAAAGCCACTGGGTACTTCATGCAGTTCCCCGCCATGCGGTACACGGGGACGGTGGCTCGGAAGGTAGGGGTACTCTCCCTGGTGTTTGTGGGCATGATGACCTTCAACAACCTCTGCCTCAAGTACGTCGAGGTCTCCTTCTACAACGTTGCCCGCTCCCTCACCATCGTCTTCAACGTCCTCCTCTCCCTGGCCATCCTCCGGACCTTCGTCTCCCTCCCCACGGTCGCCTGCCTCTTCCTGGTCTTCGTGGGGTTCTGGGTGGGCGCCGACGGGGAAGTGAACTTCTCGCTCCTTGGGACCTTGTCGGGTGTCACCTCCTCCCTCTTCGTCTCCCTCAACAGCATCTACACGAAGAAGGTCCTCCCCGCCGTGAACGACAACCAATGGGTCCTCACCTTCGTCAACAACTTCAACGCCTGCATTCTCTTTTTGCCCCTCATCTTTTTCCTCGAGCTCCCGATCCTCCTTCAACACTGGACCACCCTCTTCTCGCCCCTTTTCTGGACCGGCATGTGCCTGTCCGGCCTTTTGGGCTTCGCGATCGGCACGGTGACGGTCATGCAAATCAAGGCGACTTCCCCGCTCACCCACAACATCAGCGGTACCGCCAAAGCCGCCGTTCAATCCCTTTTGGCCTTCTATTTGTGGGGCAATCCCGCCACAACCAAGAGCCTGTTGGGCATCGCCTTGGTCTTGGGCGGCTCCTCTGCTTACACCTTCGTGGCCATGCGAGAGGCGGAGAAGAAACGCCGGACGTCGGGCCTGGGGGGGGGAGGGGGTGGCAGCAAGAGCAATGGGAGCACGGAGGTCGGGGCATTGCTGCCTGTAAAGAGTCCCGGCGCGACGGGAAGTGGGGCGGGCGTCAAGTTGACAGGGGCCTAGGAGGGGGGGGGAGGACGGAAGGAGGAAGGAGAGGGGGAGTCAAGAAGTACATAGGAAAAGCCGACGAGGGAGGCAACGGGAGGAGAAATCGGGAGGGGGAAAAAATGGCGCGAAAGCATTCGGACAACGCGAGGTGATTCGCCCCCCTCGCGTACACTCGAAGAACGCAAGCGAAGACCAGGGGGTTTCCCCCTCCATGTTCATGCCTTCCTTTTTATTTATTTATGTATGCCTTGCTGTGCCGCCTTTGTCGTTCATCTTCTGATTCCTGCCATTAATTTCTTGGTCGGCTCCGGCGGACCTGTTCTCTCCCCCTGGCACCGCATGACGCCACTACTTATGTATACAACCCGCCCCCTCTAAATCCCTCCAAATCCATCGCTTTCAATGAGCGAGGCTCAAGGCTCATGTTCCCCCCCTCCCCCGTCTTGCCTTCCGCCCTGCATTCATCCTCCCCTCCCTCCCTTCCTTCCTCCTCCCTT